CCAGGATAGTGAGCCTACTGTGCACCCTCCTTGCCGCCCTAAGGATCTTGATCTCCACCATTTCGTGATCACTGCAGTCAAGGCTGCCCTTGAGCTTGACATTCCCCACCAGCCCCTCCTTGTTGGTGAGAACAAGGTCCAGCATGGCTCCTCTCCTTGCTGGCTCCTCTGTCACTTGGAGAAAAAAGTTATTATCAACACATTCCAGGAACCTCCTGGATTGCTTATGCCCTGCTGTGTCGTCCCTCCAACAGATATTGAGGTGGCTGAAGTCCCCCATGAGGACCACGGCTTGTGAATGTGGGGCTGCTCCTATCTGTCTATAGAGGGCCTCATCTGCTCAGTCTTCCTGGTCTTGCTGCCTGTAGCAGACCCCCACTGTCATGTCACCTGCCCCTGTGTTCCCTTTAATCCTGACCCAGAAGCTCTCATTCAGCTCCTCATCCATCCGCAGGTGGAGCTCCATGCACCCCAGCTGGTCACTGACATAGAGGGCGACACCCCCTCCTCATCTCCCCTGCCAGTCCTTCCTGAAGAGACTTCTGTCCCTGTGTCTATTTTGGGCTTTTGAAAATGTCTTCCCACTCCCATGAGTGCAAAAATCCCACTACATAAGATGGACTTTACAGGTTGTGTAGAGGGCAGTTCCAGTGTGTGCCCCGAGAGGAGTTAAAAAACACACTATGGATGGAGAAACCGCTACCCAGCTTGTGTTTTCCTACTCCACCATCAGGTTTCCTTCCACAGCATCAAAACAGACCTCACCTTTTACTTGTATGGTCGTCTGCTTCATCCACTGTCCAGTCTGCTGCCATCTACCTCCACTGAGCACCAGTTATCTAGCAGAGGTACTAAGTACTAGTACTAGGTGCTAATAGAGGCAGCAGAGACTTCTCCAGCATCCTCAGGCCGTGGGACGAGGCTATTGGAGCAGTGTATCAGCACTGAGGCTGGTGTATGATTTAGCACCAGTACCTGTCATAACTGTGGTAGAAAGGAGAGAAGTTGCCAACAAAGAGCAGCTAGCGTTTTACTGAGAAACTCTTGTGTAGCTTAGTCAAAGGAAGAAATTAAGTTAGGAGACCACAGTTAGGTGTTTTGACGCATACGTGTGAGTTTAGACGGACAGACCAATGCCATCACGATACTGCTGTGATTGTACACTTAATAGAATTGTAAATAGTCATTAGTATTAATCTACGGTGTCAGGACCCCATAATTCATGGTAGGGTGCACAACTAAATATTAGATAGACTATAACGGGCATCTTAAAATGAAGCTGTATAACCACACTCACGGGAGGTTTTTACAGTATTGTTGTGGGAACTAATGTAAGAAAACTCAAGACCATTTAGAAATGGAAAGGTATTTTATTTAACTTTCTAACCAAGTAGGTGGTACCAATCAGCACTCTCACACACATATTCTCAGAGGGGCCAAAATGTGTATATCCACGTGGTCTGGCTGAGGTCACCTGAGTGTGACATGGAAGGCAAGGGTTGCCAGCTATTGAGTCCTCCATATGCCTTCTGGGTTCTGCTTGAGGCCCAAAGGCCAACTCTTTCTTGACGTCTCCTTTAGGAGTCAAAAGTTACCATGGTGCAATGTTTTGCTTCTGCATCTTGTTAACTTCACGTTTCATAAATATTAGGCAACATTGCTGCTGGGTGTCTTTCGTTTTCTTGCTTGAGGAATCATAGGACTGTAACCCATCCGGCTATTGGGATAACAGGAAGAGAAACAGCCCATGAAATGTGCTGTATCCCCACTGCTGTCCTTCTGTTAACAGGTGCAGGTCTTCTGCTGGTGAGTCACCTTTTCTGTGGTGCATCACAGTTCAAGCAACACATTCCTCAGCACTTAGCAGTTTGATTGGTGTTAATCATGTCCTTGGATATCAGTGCATACCATTCCTCTAACTCCTGACCTGGTCTTTCTCCTGGTGCTTTCATGCCTGTACAAACCACCAGACTGTATGTCCAAGATGCTGGTTGTTACCTTCTATCCGTTACCCCTTGCCAAGCATAAGGGTAAGTATCTGCTCTTGGCATCCTGAACTGGGGAAGAGTATCATTCTGATTTGAGCAATAAGAGAACATCAACTCTTGTGTAACTCCTGCCAGGTTCCCTTACCTTGGAGAACCTTGCCCAAGTAAGGGACCTGATAAGTAAAGCAGTGCTTATCTGGTTGTACCTCTCCTGGTTTAAAGCCCCTCAGCAAGGCTTAGATATCTCCGGCATCTCTGATTACACATTTAGTGGGGGTTTTACTCATGCTAGAGTTACGTAGCGAAGCTTGATGAAATGATGAGTTCTTTTCACAACACCTTGCTAGAATTGTTCATGCAATCATTTTATTCACAGTAGTGAAACTGAATCAACAAAAACATAAATGTTCCTAAATGTTGATTGTGAAATAACTGAGATGTGGTCATGAGGGGTTTGTCTCAACTAATTCTTCCCCCGCTTCTTTGTTCAGAAGACCGCAGAACAACCCTGAACTTCTTGTACTTCTTTTCTGATCTCCATTGTGCAATTGGCATTAAAGAGTATTGTAAAGCTAAAAGAGATTGCTCTGTTCATGAACAGACCTGGGCCAACTTCAGCAAACTTTCTCAATAAAGAAGCGCTAACATTTTTCAAATTTAGTATCAGGGTGCTCTTTGTATTGGAGAATAGCTGTTTGGGCTCAGGTCAGCCAATGCCCTGCTCAGGGCTATCAGAGACTTTCAGGGAGCAGTAACATATCCCACGCAACATAGTCCAAGGTCAGGAATGGAGACCAAGAGAGGCTTGTGAAGAGTGTTAGAGGTAGTTACATCTGATCATGAGTCTGGCTAACCACAACGTTCCACAGCTTCGTCCCACTCCCATCTGCCTAAAGTACCAATATATGAAGATACAAGTCTCAAAGAACAGTTACTGGGTCTCTCCTCTGAGCATGCATCTAGCAATCTCAAAAGAAAATTTGGAAATACCGTAAGAAATAACACAGAAATTGCTCATAGTTCCAGAAATAAGAAAGCAACATGGATTCAATGGCATAAAAATCTGAATCTACTCAGCAATGCTGGTGACTGCTGGAAACTGTCGTCAGGGTTGCTGTTAAGGATCAAAAAAAATGTGAAAAGGCAGTACACCATCTGACAGAACTCGATGAAACCTTATCCTTGATTAACCCTGGTACAAATAAGTTTCTAAAAACCGGGGCAGGCTAGTACATTGCTTAAAGCAGACACAAAAGCAATCCTAGGGTTACTGACAAAACACAACTTCACAAAAACACATGTGCCTGTGCATAATCCTCAAGTGGGAAGGACCCACCCCGACAAAAAGACGTGCTCACCACCTCTCCAGTGTGGACACAGCCTGGAGCTGACCATATCACAGAATCATAGAATCACAGAATGGTTTAGGTTGGAAGGCACCTTGAAGACCATTTTGTTCCACCCCCCTGCCCTGGGCAGGGCCACCTCCCACCAGCCCAGGTTGCTCCAAGCCCCATCCAACCTGGCCTTGAACACCTCCAGGGATGGGGCAGCCACAGCTTCTCGGGGCAACCTGCGCCAGTGCTTCACCACCCTCAGAGTGAAAAATTTCTTCCTAATATCTAATCTAAATCTCCCCTCTTCCAGTTTAGCCATTCCCCCTCATCCTATCACTACATGCCCTTGTAAATAGTGCCTCCCCAGCTTTCTTATAGGCCCCCTTTAGGCACTGGAAGGGGCTCTAAGGTCTCCCCGGAGCCTTCTCTTCTGCAAGCTGAACAGCCCCAACTCTCTCAGCCTGTCCTCACAGCAGAGGTGCTCCAACCCTCGGATCATCTTTGTGGCCCTCCTCTAGACCTGCTCCAACAGCTCCATGTCCTTCTGATTTTGGGGCTCCAGAGCTGGACACGGTACTGTAGGTGGGGGTCTCACCACAGCAGAGAAAAGGGCAGAATCCTCTCCCTCGCCCTGCTGGCCGCACTTCTTCTGATGCAGCCCAGGATGCAGCTGGCTTTCTGGGCCGTGACCGCACATGACTGGATC